CTCTCTCTCTCTCTCTCTCTGTCTCGCTCGCTCGCTCTCCCTCTTTGTTGTGTGCGCAGCTCGGACGCTCGGAGCGATCGGAATGCCTCGCACGCGAATGTTCTCACTCTCTGATGTCTGTCCTGCACGCGGCTTTTTTTTACGGCTCGTTAGTTCGCGCAGGAATCGCCCGGTGCCACTGACGCCGGGCGCTGCCTGCGAACGGTTAGAGTTTTGATCGTGAATAAATGGAAAAATAAATAACTAAAAAAGTTAATGATTGAAAAAAAACAAGATTAATAAATAAAAATAAATAAAACGAATGAACCAAAAAAGATGGCGGTTATCCGCCGGTGCCAACAGTTTTGATCGTGATTACATGAAAAAATAAAAAAATAAAAAAGTTAATGAATACAAAAAATAAAGATACGCACAAAAATAAATAAAGTGAATAAATAAATAAAGATGGCTGTTATCTGTAAAGATTACTGTTATATCCGTTGGTGCCGACATGGCCTGCAGTTCGTCGGGGTAGTTGCCATAATCCACCCGGGCGGGAGGAGTCACGTGATAACGATGACGATGACGTTCAAAACGTCAACCCCTAACGTAAACAACTCACTCCAACACCGCCTAACACTAACCCATTTCACATAAATATATATGTCCTCGCCGCGCTTATATATAGGCCATTCGTGATCCACAAAAAATTAAGTATGGTGTGCGGGACCAAGATATCATGATGCAAAAACCCTAACCCCTAACCTAATCCTAACCCTAACCCTTAACCCAATCCTAACCTTAATCTAACCTTAAACGCATTAACGCTAACCCTAACCCTAAACCCTAAACACCTAATTCCTAATCCGTAAACACGTATCCCAGACACTAGTGCCCTGCCAGCGTTGCGACGTCACCTCCCTCCACGCCGGGGGATAGCATTACCCTTCCGTACCGGTCTACGTGCTAATTTCGTATGTTTGTCGTCATGTAACGACGTCAGAGCGTGACGTCTCAGATGAAGTGCTTGCCAGTCTGATATTTATGTGATTAGCAAACTCCGAGAAATTCTGCTAGCTTGAGTTCAGCTAGCTAATCCGCTATATGCACGCGAACATTTACCAAGGCGCTCTTAGTGAGCGGTGTGTTACAGTAGCGCGTGCAACACCATAGCAAGAAATCCCCTGGTAATTTAAGCGTTCACACGAGGCAAAATACGGAGGGCCCAAAGAAATCCACGCGTACTCTA